GCTTTCTCATGGTTGTTGTTGGGGGAAGGGGGGGATCGCCAACTTGTCAAGTGATTATTGGCATCTCAAAGTCTTAGTTATTATTATTATTATTATTATTATTATTATTATTATTATATATAGAGAGAGAGAAGAGCAATATTTATTCTTGAAAAAAGTTTCTAATCAGGGTAGGGTAGAGTTATACTAATTAGAGACTTTTTATTTTTATATGCATGCTTGATCATTATTACTTAATATGCAATTAAGGAGGGTATATAAACATGCCATTGAGCTGAAGAGTCAAAAACTAGGATTAGTGTTGATCTACTTTCATTATATGAGTGATTAGATATATTTCATGATTCTAATAATGAACAAATAAACTTTGGAATTTTTACTCAAAAATTAAAAAAAAAAAAAAGCTATTGATCTTTTATTATATGGTATTAAATTTATAAATTTTCATTTCATTGTAATTATATCCATTAAGTTTTAAAAATAAAGGAAAAATTTTAATTTTTAAAATTTTTAAAATAGCATTTTCTTATATTTATCATTTAATTAATTCAAATAAACTGAAATGTTTTCTATAAATCACATCATCCTACTAAAAAGATTTTAACAAAATAAATATATATTTTATAAAGTTAAGATTCTAATTACTCTAAAATAAAAATTTATAACTTTAATTTCATATAATAAAAAAATAGATGATGTATTTTCATATTTTAATGAAGTTCGAGATTATTTTGATACTATTCCTTTCACAAATAATGGTGCATATCCCTACATAAAAGTGACCTAATTAGAATAAATCCCTCCCTCGAATCAATAGCCATCCTGATAAATTTAAACATCCACAAATCATCTAGGCCTAGCTGATCATTCTAAATTTTATATTTTTCGTTGTTTAGATAATTATTTGTAGTAGCAGGCTTATTAGTCACCTTTCATCTAGGCTTCCGGATGCTCGTTGTTCAGCAAACGAACTAAACTATAAAATGGAATTAAGTATTTGGAAAATGTTGCATTTATGGTAAGTTGGATAAAAATTGTTGTAGGATCAGTTAGAGAACCATTATCATCAATGGGGGCAGCCCCCTCCCCCCCCCCCCCACTTTGATATCACTGTTCAAGCATACTTGTCCAACAAATAATTGACTCGTAACGATATACATTAAATTGACAAAGCAATTTTATACAGTATTTCACAATTTGAAAACAGCAAAAAACACATGATTTTCTCTACAATGGCAAACCCAAGTTTTTGGACCAAAGAGAACCATACATTGTGGGACATACCACTCCAAGAAGAATTCATACTTGATAAGGATTATAGCCTATTTTTGGACTCTTTTTTTCTTCTTTTTTCGTTCACTTCTTTGGATAGGTTAAAATCCTTAAATTAATAAGAGATCTTAATCTTAAACAGTTTAGCATTAGTAATTTCTTAATCAATAATATAGAAACTTATTGATATTTTTACATGAAATTATGTTCATTTTTTGCATATAAACCGTTAAATAAGTCTCCGGTGACATTTTTTAAATAGATATTTAAAGAAAGGTTTTCTTGTAAATTTAAAAATAATGTATTAAATATACAAAATAAAATAATAATTAAATATTTTTTAACTAGTATTTATAGATATCCATTAATCAAATCTTTTATAATTAAAAAAAATTACAATATGCAAATGATTAAATTTACAGCTATTAGAATCTTTTCAATACTGAAAAACTACAACCATGCAGCAGGCTTAATTACTTTGTAAACTCATGAATCGTCAACAAGTGACAATCTCTCAATCTGATAACATGAGCAGCAGCCCATCACCCCAAAAAGATACCTTTACTATGTTCAATGCGGGATCCGCCCACGCATTAACAACGGGAAAGGATAGAATATACTATCTTAATCTCCCAACTTTGAAACCGTTTCACCACGGCGGTCTTGCCTTGCCCTGTCCCTCTCAATGCCTATCATTAGCCTGATCCGATATTTGACCATCAATGATTTGTTGGAGATAATTTCTTGAACTCAAAAATTATGTTAATGATTTAACATAACTTAATTCTGACATATAATTCAAATTTTAACAGTTACAAATATTTTAAAAAATTCTTTAATTCTGAATTATAAGTCAACTTGCTTGAATCTTTGATATTTATGGAGGCATAGAGTTGAAGAAGAGCCTTTTCCCACAATTTGTTATTGGTGGTATGTCATCAGAATGTAATTGGTCACGGAAGATACATATGAAGGAAGGGATAGGAACGGATGGTGTTTCTTACCCAAGTGAGAACCAAATGGTCCAAAATAAAGCATCAGGGTTTTGGACAAATAGACCAAAAAAATGTTAGCAGGGGAAGGGAGCCCACAAGAACGGCACAGCAAAGGGAAAAAACAAAGGCGCTTCCGTAATAGAAACACAAGAAGTGGTGCAGGAAGGGCATGCAGGGACAGCGAGTGTCAGATGGGGTGGAAGGGGAGGTGGTGGGGGCTGCCAAATATGTGGGTCATATTCACTACAAGCTTGGCTGGCTCTCTTCCTTTCCCTGTTTTTCCAAGACAAAACGACGACAACAGTCAATTCCACCCAACTCAACATAGATAGGGAAAGAAAGAGAGAGAGAAAAAGGTAAAACTTTGTAAAAAAAATAAATAATGCATGTCTCCTTTCTTCCATCTGTTTGGGGAAATCCCAGCGATCTTGACTGTTGCCTGCCTCTTTGTCCTCCGTTGATCACGTATACTTTACTGTATTTTTCCCCTTGCATGTGAAAATCTTGTTTTTTACCATCATTATATTCCATATCCCATGCATTAATTGAAAACGTGACGCAAAGAAAAGGCTACCCCTAACTTCCGACCTGATAATTACTTTCATACTACTTAGCTAATACAGTATTTCATTTCCAATAGTAATTTCTAGGTGTATCTTTTTTCTTTTGTGGGTAATTAAAAACTACGTTTGGTGGAAGGGTGACAAGAAATGACGTGGTGAGGGGAAAGGCCAACAACAGCGCTTTTGGCAGTAAAATCCCAGTTTAGTTTAGGGATGTTTTAGCTGACGCAAAAAGGTCCTTGACCGGCTTTGATGCGGGGTCCAAAATTTTGGCTGACAGATTTCAGTCGCCCAATCAGATAAATGGAACTGCCAACTCTAATTCCAGTCCTCTCAGTCTCAGTCTCAGTCTCAGCCCTCCCTCTGTTTCAGTTCTTCGTCTTCGTCGTCTCTTCTAGTCTAGCCTGCCCACTCTGTCGATGCTCCACGGCCCTTTCAAGGACTGCCAGAAGAGAAAAGAAGATCCTAAAAGGCCAAAGCAAGTCCCAAACTGCACGTGTGACCTGTCACGTGTCATTACCATAACTGTAGTTTTATTTTTTTTTTCATCACTAATCAATTCCTTCAATATTTTACTCACCTTTTTCTTCTTTTGTTTCAATTTTCCTCTTTGAAAAGAAAATGCCTATAAACAATAAACTTTTCGTGAGAAAGGTATCTTTCTTAGTGAAGTCCTGTTTTATTTAGTTTACCTTTTCTTTTGTTAGGAGTCAAGGTCCCATAAATGGATTTAAATTTAATAGCTATGATATTAAATTCAAGTTGTAATGCAATTAAGCATACCTAAAAATACACTGAAAAAGAGTGTAATGCGTTTAAATTTATTTAATGTTCCAAAAAAACTCGCTGATTGAAGAATGTCATTAATCAAAATAATAATTAATTTGATTCTAGTCTACATCTTGATAACATATGGTTATAAATGCTACATGGGAAATATAAATATTCGAATTAATTATAATATAATAATAAATGCAATGTATATAATATAAATATTCAACGGAAAGAAACTCGTTTCAATCAAAGTTTTCATCCTAAGTTAGTGGTTAATGCACCATAAGTTTAATTTGTTTGTAAGGAGAGGAAATCTCATTTTTTGTCAATTAAGATTTGATTATTGTGGCAAATACTTCGAAATGCATAAAGAAAGAATTAATCCTAAGCAAAAGTGTGAAAAATCTTAGGCTAATAATCTTCTGTGATTTATTAATAAGGTGTTAGATTATTAATTTTAGTGATTAACATTCAATTTTTTATTTAACTTGAATGATAAAAAAAAAATGAAACATAGTAAATGCACTAAACAAAGATTTAAAGAAAATTTTACACTCATTTTGAAAAAAATATGAATCTCTAAAATCTATCCTACTAAGAAATACGTGTAATTAAATTTAGGCAGTAATACAAGGTAAACATTAAATAGGTCCTAAAATCATGTGACTAACTAGGGCAAGGACAACCCCACGAGCGTTACAAAAAAAATAATCCAAGGAGAGCACTTGCATTTCTTTTTCAGATTCAAATGCCTCAGTGTGTGAAAGCTATAGTAGTAATAATTTTTCAAAATAACTGCAAGTTAAAGTCAAAATAAATTTTAAAAAAAAAAGTATAGATTTGATTAGAATTGAACCTCCATGGTTAATTTCTCTTATTGGGGACGTCCCCGAGCCCTTAATTACCTATAAGCCAAAAAAACACATCAATTTTTTCACTGAAAGGAGCGTTCAGATACTGAATCAGAATTACCATGAAAGTGAAAATAAGAGGAGTAAAAAGCTAAGCTGTAGTAATAATTTTGCGTAATATATAACTTCAAAAGAAAATTTTACGTAATATATCTTACTATATGCAGCAAACAAGGGAAAGAGAGGACAACAGAAAACAGAGCAGAGAAGGAGGAGGAACGAATAATAAAATTTCACACCAACAACAATAGCTCCTAAACGCGCCGTTTCACTTATCGGAAATTGAACCAATTAAGCTGACAACACCCCGGACGTCTCTTTCTTTAAATCACATTAAGTAACGAAATTATCCGGCATACTGCTCACTGCATACATTTTATACATCGTAAGGGATGACAGAAAAAAAAAAAAAAAAAAGGGAAATAAAAAAATGGATTCAAAAAAAAAAAAAAACCCACCTCAACTCCTCTATTAATATACCTATCTCAGCTGAAAATCAAACTATTCTATATATCCTTGAAGACAAACTTAGTATCCATACAAAGTTAGAGAGATCGAAAGGAAAGGAAAGGAAAAGAAAAGGGCGCCCTTTATGAGAGTATCTCTAGAGAGTTGAAACCAAAAACAATAAACAGATTGATTCTTCTTCTTCTTCTTCTTCTTCGTTCTTATCATCCTCATCGTTATCGTCGTCGTCATGTGTAACCAAAGCACCACCTCTACCCTCCCAACTGTATCTACTTCAACAGAGAAATCATCTCAAACCCACTTTTATTTCGATATTCGACCACTACCCAACTCCATAAAAGATCCTGAAAAGCATCAACAACACCAAGGTAATGGATGTCTATACCATTCCATGTCAGAGATCATAACAGAAGCTAAATCACTCTTCAATCTAGCCTTCCCCATAGCCCTAACCGGTCTGGTTCTCTATTCTCGTTCCATCATTTCCATGCTCTTCCTTGGCCATCTCGGCGATATCCAACTGGCCGCTGGCTCTCTAGCTATAGCTTTTGCTAACATCACAGGCTACTCAGTTCTCTCTGGCCTTGCTTTAGGTATGGAACCCCTCTGTTCCCAAGCCTTTGGCGCTCAAAGACCTAAACTTTTATCTTTAACCCTTCACCGCTACGTTATTTTCCTCTTATTCACTTCCATATTAATATCTTTTCTTTGGATGAACGTGTTCAATATTTTGGTTTATCTTCATCAAGATCCTAATATCACCCATATCGGCCAGAGATACTTACTCTTTTCCCTCCCTGACCTCTTCACCAACTCTTTCATTCACCCAATCCGCATTTACCTTCGCACTCAGGGCATCACCCACCCGCTCACTTTAGCAACCCTCATCGCCACCATTCTCCATTTACCCATCAACTTCTTACTCGTTTCCCATTTCAACTTCGGCGTCGCCGGTGTTTCCGCTTCCGCTTCCATCTCCAACTTCTTCGTACTCATCTCCTTGGTTGCTTACATTTGGGCCTCAGGCCTCCACGAGCCCACGTGGGAAAAGCCCACTTTCGAGTGTTTAACCGGATGGAAGGCGCTGCTCAAGCTAGCAGCGCCTAGTTGCGTTTCGGTTTGTTTGGAGTGGTGGTGGTATGAGATCATGATCGTTTTGTGTGGGCTTTTGGCGAACCCAAAGGCGCCGGTCGCTTCTATGGGGATATTGATCCAAACGACGTCTTTGATATACGTTTTCCCTTCTTCATTGAGTTTCGCGGTTTCGACTCGCGTTGGTTACGAACTAGGTGGAAACCGTCCTTATAAAGCGAGATTATCCGCAGTGGTGGCGGTTTTTGTATCAGCCATGATGGGCCTATCAGCTTCAACGTTTGCGTCAGTGATAAGGGATAAGTGGGCCCGGATGTTCACGTCTGACTCCGAGATCCTACGGCTGACATCCATTGCCCTTCGCATCCTAGGTCTATGCGAGCTTGGGAACTGCCCGCAAACGGTTGGATGTGGGGTCCTCAGAGGAAGTGCACGTCCTTCCACCGCAGCTAACGTCAACCTCGGTGCATTCTACCTGGTAGGCATGCCGGTGGCCATTGGGCTAGGGTTCTATCTCGGAGTCGGATTTTCTGGGCTTTGGTTGGGCCTACTCTCGGCCCAGGTGTGCTGCGCTGGGCTAATGCTGTATGTGGTGGGGTCCACTGACTGGGACCTACAATCAAAGAGGGCCCAGATGCTGACGTGTGCAGATACAAGGCTAACAGATGGTGCTGATAATACCGAGAGTGAGGAAGAACAGCCGTTGATATGTATCATGGTGACTTAAACTGCTTGATCAACCCAATTTCAGTAGTAAAATTAGAGGATGCTATGAAACTCCTTTTTTTTTTTTTTTAAGTTTGTGAATTATTTATTATTTATAGGGAGGGGGTGGTGGTGGTAATTAATTGCTTAAAAAAGATGAAAAGGAAAAGTTTTGTTGTCTGCTCTATTCTATGTGTAACATAATTTCTTAACAAATTCTCTTCTAATTTCCTGCCCCTTTGTTGTTGATCACAACATTGGATGTTGTAGTAACTCTATATTTAAAAAAGGGTGTAGTGATTATAATGGTGTCTCCAATCTGACTCATTATGTTATAGCGTATTTGAGTTTGTCCTTTGTTAGTTGTTAGTGAAAAAAATCACGTTACTCTTGCAAGGTATGGGAAAGTGACAAAGGTTTAAATTAAATGAATTAATAGATGTAAATGTCTCAAAGATTCAGACAAGAGGAGGTCTTTTGCCCTTTGTGAGTTTTTGTTGAGCAGACGACAGACAGGGCACTTTACAATCATCCACCTAGACTAGACGACACATGATGGGTTTTTACCCAATGGATTTTTTTTTCTTTTTTCAGCAAGATGAGCTGATTGATGAATGGGTGATTACCCCCCAAAAAGCATAAAAAAGGCTTAGGTTTTGGTTTGAATTTTGATTCGAAAACCGTATGCTAGCATCATTTTTGTTGACTCTCTCAGCAGCTAATAGTATTAGTTTCATGTTACATTTAATTTGGAGGCTTTCCTGGTCCCAGCTCCCGATTTACAGATCTTCCATATATTGGCCAAAGGAAAGCGCTGAGCTTCTCGTTTCAGTTCCCTCCTACTTATATTTGGTCATACGATTAATTCGTTTGAGGAATTTAGTCTTGTACTTTGTATAGTTTTATATATAGGTTACTGTTTTCAGGATTTGGCCTTGACTTGACATTGTCAATTCCTTTCCTTTCGGTGGGGGTGGGGGGTGGAGTGGGGAAAGGAAAAGAGCAATTATTTCAAAAAAGTTAAGGTTACTAGCTACATAATGAGTCGTCAAGGCAATCTGTTTGTCATTTGAAGGATACAATCTTTGATATTTCAACCACTTAAAGATATTTGGGTTATCCAGTTCTGATTGGTAACTTCATATGCTAGAATCTATGGTTATGTTTCGAGCTGCTAGTTTGTATTTGATTATGTACTAAACATGTTCCCTGCATGTGAATAGAATACGAAACCAAAAATTCTATACTGACGTGTGCTGCCACAGAAATCAAATTCAAGATGGCAAAAATAGCCTCACCCTTCACGTCTCAAACAAATTATTATGATCCACTAATCTTAAATCATCACCTTATTATTGCTTATCACACACTTTTACTATTGAAATTTATGGACAATCATTTTATTTCTAAAGTCACAATATGCTCCATATATGAACACAGGCTTATCCATATTTCATACGTACATACATACATACATATAGATATATATATATATCCATGCAATTATATCAACATATCAAGTTCATGTGATTAGTAGATGTTAAAAAAGGTTGCAAAGTTCAACTTGCAATGCTATTTTATTGAATTTTCCTTTCGGAAAGGGAGAATAATCATTTGTATTGATTAATTCAGGTGGTTCACTTCTCTTGATTTCGGTCACTATATATGAAATGGGTAAAAGAAAAGCCAGCAAACAAAACAATGACTATAATGATTCAGAAAAGAAAAAAAAAAAGGGGGGGGGGGGGAGTGTCTCAGATCAGTCCACCAGAAAAGAACAGCATTGCCCATGGCAGTTGATCTGGAAAGGAAAAACAAAAAAGAGTCTTGCCTGATTGTTAAAGTGGGCTATAATTAAGGTGCTGCTGTTTTAATTTCTTGATGAAGAGATTGCACGAGGGGGGTATCAATATTTCACATCAGTCACTCCATGCTTGTTGTTTTCTTCATATGCACTTTTTTTCTTGCTTTTGCCATGACAATGAGAAGCAGAAAATTCATCTCCCCTTGTCTTCTCTTCTCTGCTGCATGTAAAAAGATCTCTAACATGATCAAATACAACTGATTTCCATTTGTTTGCATGCCCCCAAACAAAGGGCAGGACTCTGGAGGACAGGACAGTACTACTTTTCTGGGGGTCCATCCCCATCAAATCCATCAGCTCAAATTCTTAACTGCCACATGCAAATTTTATAGGATAATCCTTTCCAGGACGTAGTCTGGTATTTGTGGTAGAGAAGGAGCCAGGGTTACCAGCAAACTCAGCTGTCCAATCTTCTAATATTCACCTCTCATCTGCCTGCATCTGTATGTGAATAGCTAGCTAGATAACTTCTTCTATTTCATTTGTTCTAATCACTTTATTTTTCACTTATAGTTCAGTGGAAGGAGAAATTTATAACTTTGACACATATAATCAAAACAGAAATTGATGATAATTCATGTAAAGTGAATTTGCCAGCTCAAATGAATTATTAATCATCCAATGGACAAGATAACAAACATGCAGCTAGATTTTATTGTCTTTTTCTTGTTTTGGTGATGGAATGCATAAATCAAACTTCTTTAAGCATATCATATAAATGGTATTAATAATATATAGTGATGGACATTCTCACCCACAGTCATTAAAATGTGAATATTATATCATGGTTTTAGACTTTTTAATTTTTTAAAAATTAAAGATGTGATATAAAAAAAAAAAAAAAAAACAATCACCAAATGTGTTGCACTAGTAAAATTTTAGTTGGGAGAAAGCTCAAAATGGATCAAATATTCTGACTTTTCAAAAGAAAAAAAAATCCCACTTCCAACCATATTCATTTCCATAATCTTTTAAAATTATTATTTCTTTCACCATCATTGAACAAATACTACATCTACAATCAAAATTGAATCCTGTCATTGGAGTAATACTGGATATGGCATTGGCCCATTTTTACTTTGTTCTCTCTCTCTCTCTATTTCCTTTTGGGAGATAGGCAGAAGTGCATAGCGCATACTGTTCCTTAGCTATAACATATGCAGTAAGCTGAAACACAGCTAGCACAACCAAATATCTTCAATTGCCATCTTGTGGACAAAAGTTAGGAGATCCTCCAGATAAACCACAATCTTTCTGTCCAAATCAACAAGCTGCAGCAGATATATGTGCAAATTGCATTTGAATTTTTTTGATTTGCTTTCAATAAATGAACTAACATGAATTGGTTATAGTGTGGTCCTATAGCGCCACAGACTCTAGGTTTATCATGAGGCTTATTTCCATTCTGTGAAGTTGAGTGAGGTCAAGTCTTCTAGTTTAAAAATTGAGTTGATTGGGTTATTATTCAATAAACTATTGGCTTCATTGAATTCTCATTAATTGCTCTTTGAATTTTCATTTTCATCAATCTTATTGAAATACCATATGCTTCAAACTTAATCAAGGTTAATCAGCTTTAAGAAATCTGTAACAAAAGGCCTATAGAATATAGATTCATTCATCCCAATTACTTCCAAGAACTCTAAAAACATATCAACAACCTCTTGAACAAAATAATGTTTAAGCAACAGGTTGGACTAACAGTTGATTTTCATTCCTTAAAAGCTAAGAAATTGACATTTGACATTGGAAAGTGAAAACTTTTTTTTTTAACAGAGACAGGAAGCTTGGAAAAAAAGGGGAGGCGGGGGGGCAGCAGCGACCATTTGAATAATCAGGAATTAGATCTTGATTGGTGCAAAAGCTTTTTAAAAGTTCATATATATGCAATTGCCAGGGAGCATTCAACATTCCAAAATGAAAGGGATGTATCGTCTCTATAAAGTAAAGTTTTCTCAATTTCAGTGCCCTTTCTCAAAGTCACCCACTGGCTGGCTCTGACTCCCTTATTTTAGCAAATGTTAAGAATCGTCTTCTGTCAATTCAACTTTTTCCTGTAACCGTACTGCCCTCATTATGAAGCACATTTGGAAGAGTACAACATGTTTTTTAGGAAATAAAATTATACTACTACTTTAAACTCTTATTATAGCTTTGTCCTTTTTTTTTATTTCGTTAATCTCGCATCTCGAGCTGGTTAATTTTCTGATAAGGACATCAATTATAAAGAATAATTGTCAGTTCCATTTTCAATTTTCAAGTTTCAATCATTACGTACCACACGCATGAGGAAAGTTAATTTCCTCCTGCTAATGAATTTATCATCTTTTCCAAGGTGAACGAACCTAGCTAGATAGGTATAGCTCCTCTTTGTTTTAGATCCAGCAACCATCAATTGGCGTAGCTATAGGTCGATATTTACAGATCATGTTGGGAGTAGAATAAGCAACTCAATCAAGTCCCACCACAGTTGGCTCTATCAACTATAGAGACAGAGAGAGGGGGGATCGTGGTTGCCATTCCTTTTCTAGTAAAATAGAAGAGCCAGTGTTAGAAAGAGCGACAGCATCATTGTAGACCATCATGCTTCTCACATGGCTGCTCTTTTTGCTAACCACTCCATTTCCATTCCCTTCAATTCATACATCTCTTTCTTTGTCCCCTGCCTTATCTAAATCTCTCTCCCGTGACATATTCTTTTAAGAGCTCCAAACGCCCCCACTATTATCCCCCAAACCACCCCCATTATGGCTGTCTCTCCATGTATGAAAGAATTAAACCCCTTCTTTTGTACCTGCTAAATATATGAAACAAGCAATATGTAGGGCTAAGCTATGTTTAGGGTATAAGGTAGGGGCTGGCCTTTTGTCCTCCTTGTATGCAACAACTGGCAGCACAACACACAAAAATCACTTTTGAATATTCTTCCTCGATCAGCAGTCAACATTTGCATTTACTAGGGTTGGTTTCCACGATTGTTCAACTATCATGTTTCTTTATTTCTCAACTTGCCATGACATGTCCCCTTCAGGAGGAGCTGAATCTCCTTCTCACACGATATATCCTCGATCTTTTCTAGTGTGATCACTATTTCTTCTAGTTTTGTACCTCAGCATGCTTCATCTAATTTGCTCAACCATTATTCTCTACCCCCTATGAGGTCGACAAGAATTGGATCCACTTTAAAATTGGATGACTATACAAAAGCATGCAGGCATTTCGTAATGTTTTCTGTTTATCAAGGAATTTAATTTGGCTGCAACTTGGATTTAGAAAAGATAAAGATTATACAGCTAGAGCACGATATATGCTCTCTAGGTTGATTAATACAAGGTATGTGTTGGAATCCTATTGGAGATGTTGTGAAGAAATACTAAATTGAGATATATGGACCAACTTATGGTAGGCTAACCCTAATTATAGTAATTCTTTTATATATATATATATATATATATGTGAGATTTAATTAAATAA